AGTCACTGAGCCAGGCCTGGAGAGTGGTTTTAAACAGAGGAAGTAAAGGAAGGTCACATGTCAGCCTTGCACACTGGCCTGAGGTGCCCAACAGGTGCTTAATCAGAAACTACAGCTCAGAAAAAGGAATTCCTCCAGATGGACAGGGAGTGGAGTCAAAAGCAACCTATACATCCCTGCCTTTTGACTACACTAGCTCTAGAGATATCTCCTAATATGAGGACAAATTAATGGAAAATAAAATAACCTGATGCCTATGAAAAAAATAATGTGCCACAAGGGCAATGGAGGCTATCCTGAAGAGCAAATAACTAAAAATAATTTACCATGAAACCCACAAGAATTTCTCCACATGAAAACTATATCATTATGATGTGTCAATACCGATTCATCAATTGTAATAAATATATCACTCTGGTAGAGGATGCTGTTAACGAAGGAAGTTAGGCCAGTGTGAGGCAGCAAGTATATGGGATGTTTCTATACCTTCCTCTCAGTTTTGTTGTGAATCTAAAACTGCTCTAAAAAATAAAGCCTTGGCTGGTCACAGTGGCTCATGCCTGTAATCCTAGCATTTTTGGGGGCCACGGTGGGCAGATCACCTGAGGTCAAGAGCTCAAGACCAGCCTGGCCAACATGGCGAAATTCCATCTCTACTAAAAATACAAATATTAGTCGGGTGTGGTGGCACACGCATGTAATCCCAGCTACTAGGGAGGCGGAGGCAGGAGAATTGCTTGCATCTGGGAGGTGGAGGTTACAGTGAACTGAGATCATGCCACTGTACTCCAGCCTTGGCAACAGAGTGAGACTCTGTCTCAAAAATAAATAAATAAATAAAGCCTTTAAAAAAACTATGTGAAACAGGGACAGAAAATCACATATAAGATGAAAAGACAATAGGATAAAATGAAAAAGGAAGTGAGAGAAATACAAGCACAATAGCAAATTAAAGTAACCATTTGAGATAGTGTGGAACAGAAACTAAGCTGCAGAACACCTTATCAGACTGTCCTTTTTAATACAGAGGACAAACTTAAAAAGACTCCAGAATGCAGAAGAGAAAGCTGGAACTAATGAGAAATGGTGCTAACTACAGGGAAAGGGAAAGGAAAGGGAAGCCAAGGTAAGAATAAATGTTTCTGAGAATCCAGAACAACTGGAACAGAAGCAATTAAAACTACAACTAAAGGAAAATAGGCCTGGCGCCATGGCTCATACCTGTAATCCCAGCACTCTAGGAGGCCGAGGCAGCATGATTGTTTGAGGCCAGTAGTTTGAGATCAGCCTGGACAATATAACAAGACCCCATCTTAACAAAAAATTTAAAAGTTAGCCGGGCATGGTGGCATGCACCTCTGGTCCCAACTATTAGCGAGGCTGAGGTGAGAGGATAGTCTGAGTCCAGGACTTTGAGGGCTGCAGTGGGCTGTGATCGAGCTGCTGTACTCCAGCTTGGGCAACAGGGCAAGACCCAGTCTCTAAAACAAATAAAAAATAAAAATAAGAATAAACTGGATGAAAAAAAAAAAAAAAGACTAAGTGAGTTCCCTGTGTTCCGGTAGAGAGTAGAGGTGGGGAATCAATGAAGAAATGATGGTATTACATTTTTTTTTTTTTTTTTGAGATAGAGTCCCACTCTCTCACCCAGGCTAGAGTTCAGTGGCTTGATCAGAGCTCACTGCAACTTCAAACTCCTGAACTCAAGTGATCTTCCCTCCCACCTCAGCCTCCTAACTGGCTGGAATTACAGGCATGCACCATTACATCCAGCTAATTTTTGTATTTTTTTGTAGAGCCAAAGTTTCACCATGTTGCCCAGGCTGGTCTTGAACTCCTGGGCTCAAGCGATCCTCCCATCTCAGCCTCCCAAAGTTCTGAAACTACAGGCATGAGCCACCATGCCTGGCTGATATTGCTTTTAAGATGAGCGGGGGAAACCCATCAATTTAAAACTATATACACAGTCTACAATAATTACATATATATCATATAAGAGCTAACATACACAGGGACGAATACTGGAAAAGGTCCAATGGAATGGTAACAAGGGTTATTCTAAGTTGTGGGTACAGTAGAAAGGTGAACCTCTGCCCCACTGGAAACGGGGGATACACATGGTTCTCAGAGAAGTGAACTATGAGAGGACATAAGAAATAAGCTGAGTGTGTACCTATGCAACAGTCTTGCATGTTCTTCACATGCACCCCAAAACCTAAAATGCAATAAAAATAAAAATAAAAATTAAATTAAATTAAAAAATAAGCTGAAAGAGGTAAGTTATAGCCCAGGCTACTATCTATATGACTATATTAATATATCTACAGAAAATGTAAAGTAAAATTGCTATTAACTGAACCACACAGAATCGAAAAAAGAGAGCTACAGACATAAATGCTCCTGCAGCATTAGGTGGGGGAAGTTAGCCAAAGGAATTTGAGTCTTCTGACCTTAAGGGTGAGAACACTGCTTATATGGAGATGGCTATAGGCAAAGTTATCCCTGTCAAAGCCTGATGCCAGGAAACAATGACTTTACATTCTACCCATCTAACCCCCTTGTTCTGATTCCATGGTCATGAAATGACCTTCTGCTTATGATTCTGTTCCACGCATAATTATATCCAAAGGAAGAGAATGTGCTGATGAAGCAACTACATGTTTAACCTATGAGATGGCAACTCCTTGTTATAAATTAATAAACTGGATTGTCCAGGGAAAGAATGTGCTAATTTATCTATTTATTTGAGACAGTGTCTTGCTTTGTTGCCCAGGCTGGAGTGCTGTAGCTCAGTCATAGCTCACTGCAGCCTCAAACTCGAGCTCAAGGGATCCTCCTGCCTTAGTCTCCTGAGTAGCTGGGACCACAGGCATGTGCTACGCTGCCCAGCTAATTTTTTAAAAAAATTTTTGTATAGACAGGGTCTCACCATGTTACCCAGACTAAGAATATGCTAAAATTTAAGACTATTTAAGTGTGAGGAAAGCTATTTAAGCTTACTGGCTAAAGACATGGGCTTTGGAATCAGAGAAATACAAGTTTTTTGTTTCATTTTGTTTTGTTTTTTTGAGACAGAGTTTTGCTCTTGTTGCTCAGGTTGGAGTATAATGGCATGATCTCGGCTCATAACAACCTCCACCTCCCGGGTTCAAGTAATTCACCTGCCTCAGCCTCCCAAGTAGCTGGGATTACAGGTGCCCACCACCACACCTGGCTAATTTTTGTATTTTTAGTAGAGATGGGGTTTCCCCTTATTAGTCAGGCTCATCTCAAACTCCCAACCTCAGGTGATCCACCTGCCTCAGCCTCCCAAAGTGCTGGGATTACAGGCATGAGCCACCATGCGCGGCAGAACTGTGAGTTTAAATCTTGGCTCTGCCACCTGCTGGCTGTGCAGTCGCAGATGCAAAATGAGAGTATGACCTGTCTTGAGGGAGCATAGGCATTAAACAGGACAATGCATACAAAGTACTGAGCAATGTTTGGCACATAGTAGGTGCCCAGTAAATATTTGTTGAATAAACAAAATGAATATACATGATCAATAAGTGGTTCTTATTATTTAAAATTTGGAATTTAAATGAGCTCAGTTCATGCATGCCTTCCTTTAAAAGACAGATCCAATCTTAGGGCATTGGGCAAAAATCAGAGTTTTGGACTTAACTAACTTGAAGACCAGATTCTTCCAGATTTTGATAAGCTGTCTAGGTATTTTCCACCATCCTGTGGTGTTGACAGTCTTGTTTTTTCTGATTTTAATACTCTGGATAGTAAGATTATGAGTAACTATTTCCTTTCTATTGTTTCAAATTGTCTATAATACAAAAAAAGTCATTTTTATTACCTAAGTATTTTTTTTAACTACCACAAAAATTTGGAAAAAGAAAAGATAAATAATAAAGAATAAATGAAAGCTGGAAATAAGGTTTGGCACTAAAATGCATTGCAATAAGGTGCCACAGATTTGCTAACGATAGCAAGGAAATTCATCCTTAAATTTTCTATCAGCCTTCTTAAAAAAGAAAAAATCTATGAGAGTCACAGCATCTATAAGATCAGAATAAGGTAAGGACCCAGAAAAAGAACAGCCATTCTTATTAGAAAACGATGAGAGAAATTCTTCATCCCACAGGTATTCATTAAGGTGTTTCTTCTTTCAGTAAGCCACTGGAAAAATGCCAGAACACAAAGTCTAAAATGTAAACTCTGGACCAACTCAAGGGAAGTATTGTTTCTGAACTACAGAAACAAAACAAACTAAAACCCACACCTCCTTTGAAGTTAATTTCTTCCATAAAATAGTCACATAGCACAAACTGTGGAAATTGTGTTAGATGTATTTGATATACAACACATTTTTCCGCAAAATAATATATCAACATGAAATACCTAAAGACAGTGTGAAAGAAAATAAATAAAACCTGAAAAAAAGAGTTTTTTCAGGCTTTTTTTAAACCAAATGCAACGAATATATTAATAACTTCTTCTATTTTTGTTTTCTTTTTGAGATAGGGTCTCGCTCTGTCACCCAGACTGGAGTGCAGTGGCATGATCATGGCTCACTGAAGCTTCAACTTCTTAGGCTCAGGTGATCCTCCCACCTCAGCCTCCTGAGTAGATGGGACTACAGTCTCATGCCACCATGCCCAGCTTATTTTTTTTGTCTTTATTTGTAGAGACGGGGTTTCACCATGTTGCCCAAGCTGGTGGCGAACTCCTGGACTGAAGTGATCCACTTGCCTCAGCCTCCCAAAGTGCTGGGATTACAGATATGAGCCACTGTGCCCAGCCTTATTAATAACTACTTACTGGTAGATGAACAAAATAACCTTCTTTACTAGAATTAACTGAGATCTTACATTACTTGTTTAGTTTAAATTACAAAATAGTTTAAAAACACAAGGTGGAAATGTCACTGTTATAGGATCAATTTCATATTTTGGAAGAAATACGTTGTTAGTATCTATATTTTCTAACATAAACTATAGTTTGGATCTTACCAGTTGATTCCATTTTCTTGGTAAGTGGTTCTGGGTATTCATCTAAGAAGAAATCTGGTAGCAAAGGATGGCCTGAAAATTGACCCCAAACCATTAGGTTAATTTAACTACAATATATTAAGATTTTAACATCTATTTAATAAACCTATGTTTTATTAAAAATCATTCTGGTGTAATAGAAAAGGCCTCCATGAGAACTATCGAATGACCTCATCATTAAATTAATTTTCTCATAATTCAGTTATCCTCCTCTCCTCTGATAAATTTTATCTTCCAGATTTAATCCCCAAAAGATCACCTGTTCTGTAAAGCCTTTACCTGCTCTCCCAGGGACCTCTGCCTTTCTCATCCTGCACTGCTCTTCTGACCCACATTCTTCCAAAGTGCTCAGGATTCATTTCTTACCTGCCCTCCTAAGAGCACAGGGTCCCTTCTTAAGAAGGTCTTTCTTCTCAGCATTAGTGCATTTGGGTCTTTTCTCTCTTCTTCCTCTCATTCTATCATCATGAAAACTAAGCTATCCCATTCCATCTATTCCACTGGGTTGTTTATTATTATTGTTATTATTATTATTATTGAGACAGGGTCTCACTGTCACCCAGGCTGGAGTGCAGTGGCATGATCTCGGCTCACTGCAATCTCTATTTCCTGGGCACAAGTGGTCCTCCTCCCTCAGTCTCCTGAGTAACTGGGACCACAGGCACAAACCACCATGACCAGCTAATTTTTATTTATTTTTTTGAGTGGAGTCTCGCTCTGTTACCCAGGCTTGAGTGCAGTGAAGTGATCTTGGCTCACTGTACCCTCTACCTTCCAGGTTCAAGCAATCCTCCTGCCTCAGCCTCCTGAGCAGCTGAGATTACAGGTGCCTGCCATCACACCTGGCTAATTTTTGTATTGTTTTAGCAGACAGTGTTTCACCATATTGGTCAGGCTGGTCTTGAACCCCTCACCTCGTGTGATCCACCTGCCTCGACCTCCCAAAGTGCTGGGATTACAAGCGTGAGCCATCACGCCTGGCCACTAATTTTAATTTTTTGCAGAGATGGGGTTTTGCCATGTTGCCCAGTATTGTCTTGAACTCCTTAGTTCAAGTGATCTGCTGGCCTCAGCCTTCCAAAGTGCTGGGATTACAGGTGTGAGCCACTGCACACAGTCTCTACTGGGTCTTATTTTCAGCTAATGGTTGTGGTTAGCAAATAGGTTAACTGTTCTAATTACACTGATAACTCCAAGACATAATCACTAGGAGATTAAAAGGCCATAAAGCCTTAAAACTGTAGTACAATGAAATGTTAACAATCTCAATTGTTCTCCCTCCCTCCCTTCCTTCCTTTTTTTTTTTTTTTTTTTGAGATGGAGTCTTGCTGTTTTGCCCAGGCTGGTCTCAAACTCCTGGGCTCAAATGAGCCTCCTGCCTCAGTCTCCTGTCTCTCTCCCTGTTTTTCAGAAGTTTAAGCAAACTTCTGGAGGGCAGGAATGAATTCATCTTTGTTATAGCCTCATATCACAGTATCTGGTCATATTAAGTTCTCAATACATAATAGGATTTTTAATTTAAATAAAATTTTTAAATTTGTGTACAATTACACTGTGTCTTTAAAACTTAAAGTAATAATTACATTCCTGGGCACCAGGACCCAGAAGACCTGAATGTGGTCAGGTTCTGCCACCTATTAGCTGTCTGCTCTTAGGCAAAGACTCAATCTCTCTGTGCCCGTTTTTCCACTTGTAAATATTAACTACTAAATATTTTGAGTGTACTATATGCCAGGCATTGTGACAAACACATTATACATTACCTCATTTAGTCTTTACAAAAGTCTTGTATGAAATGTATCGTTTTCCTAAGTTTAACTATACAGAAATTGAGGCTGAGACAGACAAACTGGGTAACATGCTCAAAGCTGCATAGCAGTGAGCAGCAGAGCCGCAGTAGGAACCCGGGTTGTTCCATGTTCTTAATCACTAAATATTACTTCCCTTACAGATTTGTTAGGAGGCTAAATAGATAATGCATATAAGAGTGCTTTGTAAAACTATAATCCGCTATTTAATTCAGTTTGAACTGCAGAGACGAGCAGGGATGATACAAATATAAACATGGCTTGTGTCATTTAGAAGCTCAGTTTAATGAATAATATTTAAAATACATTTTAGCACAAATAAATGTAACTCCCATGTATGGCTATATTAGAATACATCATATTCTATATGTTAAAAATCCATTATTATCATCATCATCCACAGTTTCAGAGAGGGAGAGTTATTTAACCAGAGGGCTTTCTGGAAGCTTCTCCGATCACTTTACTGTCCATAAGACAGACCCTGCCCACTCATCTACACCATCTGTCATTAAGCTGCTGTAAGAGACTGCACTTAAGAGACAAATATTTGGCTGGGCACAGTGGCTCACGCCTGTAATCCCAGCACTTCGGGAGGCTGAGGCAGGTGGATCACAAGGTCAGGAGTTCTAGACAAGCCTGACCAGCATGGTGAAACCTGTCTCTTCTAAAAATACAAAAATTAGCTGGGCAGGTGGTACATGCCTGTAATCCCAGCTACTTCGGAGGCTGGGACAGGAGAATTGCTTGAACCAGGGAGGCGGAGGCTGCAGTGAGCCAAGATTGTGCCACTGCAATTCAGCCTGGGCAACAGAGCAAGACTCTGTTTCAAAAAAAAAAAAAAAA